CTCGTACTACACAAAGCCCGACATCTTTGTTTCAATACCGGATATCATCAACGCCTCGACCTGTAGACGTTAACTATCCACCAGTGATAACGCGTTTACCACCTAGTCCACGACCATTTTCTCAATCAAATTTTGTTCAGACTTCTGCTCCAAAAATAGTACAACGTCCTACATATACCTCAACACCTAGACCCCAACTTCAATCACAACCTCAATCTTATCCGCAACCTCAACCTCCACCTTATCCACAATCTTACCCACAACCACAAGCTCAACCTCAACCGCAACCCCAACCACAACCTCAACCGCAACCTCAACCGCAACCTCAACCGCAGCCTCAATCCTCAACTCAACCTCCATCTCAACAATCTCAATTACAACTTCAACACCAATCTCAATCGCAGTCCCAACTACAGTCTCAATTCCAGATTCAGAAACAATCTCCATATCAATCTCAAATACAGCTGCAGTCACATCTTCAACCTCAAGCACCTTCAGCAAACGATTATCAACTAGTAACTTCAATGCCTTTAGGCGAATTTGATGTTAAGGATGTACAACCTACAAAACCACAAATATTGTATGAGCAACCTCCAAGCAATGATCAGTATGTACAAATGAGTGTTCAAATGGGTAATCACATACTACCAAATAGTAACAGTCCGCAAAGTTTTGCTTCTAATAATATTGTAATTCCACCGGGACAAAATTCTGTATCTTTTATTGTTCGAAATCAGCAATCGGTTGATGGTGGGCAATTTATTGGATCAACTGCCAAAGAAAATCCACACCCAACTAGATCTAATCAACCTCAACACATGCAGCTGCATGGCGAAATGTTAGTTTCTCCTAATAAAGAAGCAGTGAGATTGCCTTCAGCTAACGCAGCAGTTGTAAGAGAAGGGCAAGTGTTTCCAGCGAAAACAGAAAGTGACAATGAAATACAGTCCAAAGTTGTTTTTCCAAAACCAGGTGCAAACATAGTGCGCGATCAAATCGCTGTACCAACAAAACAAGTGCCTGTTGTAAATGATGACATAGACTTAGTTCCTCCTCCTCCATCTGAACCAATGTACGCACAGCAAAACAACGTGCATGGAAATCAGAAGGAAATATTACAATTAATTGGACAACCATTATATCATCAAATACCTAAAGATATAACATCCACTGAAAAATTACATCGAAGGCCTGATGGAGTGGGTAATTTCCGTCCTCCGTGGGATCCTCGGCCAGGACATTTTCAAATGGGCAAACCTGAGTTTTCTAGACCTTTACGAACTAATGGTCCGCCAAATATAAGTTCAAGAATATCTGAGGCCTATCCCTTACCAAATATACTACCGCAATTCAGGCCAAACAGTAGAACATCTTATGCAGATTATTGGGAAGATAGACATCCTGGTCAACACGTGCATTATCCTCCAAGACAACCTTTAGGATATCCCAATCGACCTTATCATGAATTTTATGAGAAAGCAAACAGGCCACCAATACCATTTGAACAAATCGAACGTGGTTCTAACAAAAGAATTGGCAGACCCGAGATAAGTATGTCGTTATATGATTTGCCGAAAAATAATTATCCTGAAGTGAATCGACGTCATTCGGTCTACAGAAATGATGATAGCCCTCCCAAAGTTCGTGGCCCACATCCATATTTTTATGAACGAATGTATGATACTCCAGTTCAAAAATCACAAATGGACATAAAGGAAACAATTTCTAAAACACCGGATGAGTATGCTATACTTAAGGCACCACCAGTTGTATCTATTCCAAGGCCAGAAGAAAACACGCCTGAAACAGTTGTCACGTTGCAAATGATTCAATCTAAACAAATGGTCAAAGAGAACGCCGATATCCCAAAAAGACTAGATTATCCACCTAAGTTCAATCATGGAGAATCTAAGATTCCATCTGAGGACAAACGTCAAGTATATGTTGTTTATCCCGTTAACAGTACGCCCATAAAATTAGCAACTAAACAACCAAATAATAAAGTAGGAATGGTTATTGCATCTCATGGAACTATGAAACCCGTTGTATCATCATCTGAAATAATGAAAGAAGATTATACCAACACACCGTTTACTATAACTCATGAAAAACAAAAACCATTATTAATTGTCAGACAAAAGAGCGAATTACAAAAGGTACCAAATAAAATAAAATCTAGCTTTCCATACCCATTAGAAAATCCTGAAGCAGGCACTGTCGCAAGTGACGCAGTGCATCCCACGGAACAAAATCCATTATATGCAAGTAACCAAATAGTTTCTAAAAACGATAAAGAGAACGATCTGTGGAGTGCAGGGAATAGTATTGTTAAGCATACGATCGATCCTTTGAGAGAAGCAGACAGGTTTGATTTAGTACCTTCCGACCAGAGTTCTGAAAAGCCAATTGCTATTGCATACACAGCCACTGGTAGGCCGGAAATAAAAACCACTCTTAGCGCTGACCACAATGTGAACAAAGTGTCATATCCTGGATCAAATTACGGAAAAAATGATAACGGTGGCGGTTCGGAATTCACGGTTAGTGCGGTGATGCACACATTGTCACGGGCTCCCCAGCAAGGAACTGTTCTGGACGCTCCGACAGACCAGGAATTTCATGCGCCGTTCCAGGCCAGTGAAAACATTGTATCTAAACCAGCTGAAGGCTGGACAGTTGTTGGAAAACAGAAGTCAGACGTAGAGGCTAATATTGATAAACAAGATAAAACGCAAAATGAAGATGAAGATGAAGAAAAAAATACGACTGATGCCCAATTCGCTTTTGAACACTTCAAACCTCAATTATTCGGAGGTTTTAAGCCAATCTATAAAATATCGACGCCGAATCAAAATCTTGATGAAATCACAACACAAAACAGTGGGCGTTTAGAGCGCAGTATGACATGAATATAAATGTCTGATGAATTATAATAATACGCGGGTAAAATCATTATTAATACAACCATTCATATCACTGCACTGCAGTATTACTGTCAAAAATAGTTCAAATAAAAGAAACAATAACTCACTTAATACTTACATCACTAATAATAAGCTAAATAACATGTACTTAATAAATTTATTTATTATTTTTAAAGTTCAACGTGATTAATATCAATTTCTTTGAAAAATAATTTTGCATATATATGCATATGTATATGCATTTAATTATTTTTTAAATTGAACAACAATTAACTAACCGTTTTAGGTACTATCAGTATATTAAGGAAAATAAATAGCGTATTCGCATTTTGAGCCTTTGGGTAAAAAGCATTAAAGACTTTGGTAAAATTAAAATTTTGTAGTTAAATCATGTCTTCATAACATTCATTAAGATAATATCTAGTTTATACATTAATTATAACACACACATAGGCTTACAAGAATTCTGTTTATTCATGAATGTCCTTTAAGAATTAGATATAAGTTAATTTATAAAATGCTTGAATTTAAGTTTTGTAAATGGTGAATACATGCGTAAATGATAGAATACTTTTAAAATGCGATTTCCACATTCTTTAACTGTTTAAAGAAAATATTATCTTATTGAAAGAGTAAGCTTGAACATATGTGATATTGTATTTGTGTCTTAGGAACATGTTTTTCTTTAGATTAATATTAAGTTTATTGTTTTATACTCGACCTATTTATTGAATATTTATTTATTTATTAAAATTATATATAAAATTAATATATGTGCGTGTTTGATTCACTATTTGCAGCCGATTTCTTAGAAGTACACAGCAAATAATCGATAACTGGCCTTATTGGGAATTGAATAATTAATTTCTTACATACATATGAAAAAAAATCCACATGTAATAATATTGGAAAATTAGATAGATATCATTTGTTATATTATTTATTTTAATTATATTTGAAATTCTTCTGTATAGTTTGATCCGGAAATATTTTTCCATTCGGAAAATGTAAGTGAAGTAATTTTTAACCTCAAGAGGTTAATGCTTATTAAAAAGTATGTTATTTTGCTTTTGTATTTTTAACAATTTTTTAACTTTGCGAAAGAGAAAACTATGTTTTTATCAGAAAATTTGACTTACTAATTTTATATTTTGTTGACGTTTCAAGTCATTCTGAATTGTTTGAGACCAAAATTGTGAAAAGTATGTGTTACTCTTCCTTTATCTATGGTGTTAGTGTATATATGCGAGCCAAAATCTGAAGTTTTCTCAACGGCTGAACCAATGCTGATCGTCTGGGCCGTTTCTTTGTAATTATTATTTTTTTATTTTTTATGGAATTTAACATGGTGATAGAGTCTAAGGTCGATCATTAAATATTATAGTCTTACGAAAAATGTTTGGATTATAAAAAGTTATTAAAGTCTGCAATTTTTGCGGATTGATTAGTTTTTCGTGAAAATTTCGAAATAAATAGTTGTATTTTTTCTGAATTAATATCATTTTTTTTATTAAGTCGATTATTAGAAAAAAATGAAATATGTATGTGTGTTTGTGTGGATACAATTTTTCTTCGACGATTACGATTAGATTTACTAATACTAATACTTAGATAGCGATTCAAAAACCATTCGATTCCTATTGAGAGGGCGACGTGCTGATTAGTTTTTGGGAAAGACAGGCCTAGCAATTTCGAAGATCCAGCAGAAAAGATAAATAAGCATAACGGTTTAACTTAGACTGTAACGGAGCGTCCGATTAGAATGATTCAAAACATGATTTTTTTGTGTTGACATAAAAAAAGATTAGTTTTTGAAAAAGGCAGGGTCCAGCGATTTTAAATATATGAAAAATATTTAAAATTTTCAAAACGTTTCGATTTTTTTTCAAATTATTCGAAAACTTGCACGATGACATGCACCACTAGTTTTCAGTTTTATATTATATAATTAATTCATTATAAATGTTATTTGTTTATTACTGTCTTTACAAAATAATCTGCGATGGACGTTTACATTTTGATGTTTTGACAAAAACACTTCATCTTTAGATTCGCTTTGTTGGTAACTCGCTAAAAAGTAATGGTTGTGTCTTTCACCTATGTGGAAAATTGTGTCGTTCGCGTGATAATATACCGAACGTTTTGATTAAACTTAATAATAACAAATAATATAACATGTCCGCAAGTCAACGATAATTCTTTTATCTTATGTATACATTTAAATTAACTTGACGTTTTCCTAAATGTTAGGTTAGTCGGAAGGTGTCTGACAATTGTTGATCATATTACAGACAGCATGATACAGTAATTGTAAAATAAATTTTTAGGAAACTTTTACCTTGGACCACAATGTCACATTTACCTTCTACATTCAGTAGGAATTCTGAAAATATACAAAGATCTCGTGAGGAACCGTATGCTACTCATATAAGACAAGTGAATATCATACAACCTAATCTGTCAAGTAATGAAAACACAACTCATCTCTATCAGAACATTCAAGACAATGGCAATTTGTATTCAAGAAGTGATCAACTTCCAAAATTAGTTAATCCAGATAATTATTTTTCTAATAATTACAACACTGGAGGTCATCAGACTAAGAATTCTGACTATTTGTATCCTTATGTATCCGTGAGTTATTTGTTGAATAACTGTGATGATGCATCCATTTCACACTTGAGCAATCAGCACAGTTTGTTCGCTGGAGGTCAACATTCTAATTCCAATTCATTGCCATTTTCAAATTTACCTGAGAAACCAGTGCAGAGTGAATCAGACATGTTTATTAATTCTTTTGCCGATAATTTAACCCCAAACAGTCATGGAGTGTATACTCAATTTGGTAATGCTCCTAATGAGGATAGAAATTTCACACCTTCTTCATTAGTGAATAATATTGAGCCAGCCAAACCTCACATAAGTCCAATTAAAAAGCTTGAAAAGAAGCAGTCAAAGTTGCTATATTCTGATGTTCTTAATCGTGCTGTCACTAGTGAAAAGACAAATACTGTTCCTGTTAAAGATAACACTGCCATTAAGGAATACAAAGATAAAAGTAAAACTAAAAAAATTGAACGACGCAAAAGTTGTCCTTGTGTAAACAATACTCCAGAACATCATAAATATCCTACAAACCCTGTGTGTGCTGCAGAGCAGAGCAAAGAAACATTAAATAAAACGGCACCAAAAGTTACATTGAAAAGTGATAGTTCCAGCAGTGAACAAGATGATTTGAATTCTAATGTTCAAAACACACCCAAGCATAATCAAAAGGCAACGAAAACACCAACAATTCATACCACTCAAAAAAATACTAAGCGAGAATATGCTAATAAGGAAAACCAATCGAATCAATCGAGTTGTGATGTTGAAGATTCTCCTCAAAGACAACGTGATACTTCACTTGGTAATGAAAAATCAAAATCTTCTAGCAAAAAAGTCTATAAACAATCTCGATCAGTAAAATCAGAAAAAGTCACTACTCATACTTACAAAAAAAATAAAATTCGGAAGAAGAAAAAATGTTTTGATTTTGAAGTATATTTGAAGAATTGGCATGAAATTGTAAAGAAAATTTTGTTATGGTTCTGGACATTAATTTGGGACATCGCTGTAATGAGTACAAATGTAGCAACTGATTTGTAAGTACTTTTTTTCAAATTATAATACTATTTATATCTAGCATTTCTAGTTTCTAATTCAACTTTTTTCAATTTGTGACATAATTGAATTAAGGGGGTATTCTGGCCCTAGAGGCAAAAAAAAGAGTGCACGTAAGATTCGCACGCAATTGAAGTAAAACTTATTTGCTACTGTAGAAGATGACATTAAAGTAAAAATAAATACATCATATAACAATTTTGAATAAATTTTATTATTAATATGGTAACACTCACGATGCACACATTTATTAGTGTCAACCATTATACACATTTATATAATTATAAATTATAAATTTATATATTCATAATATCATTAAAAATATGTATAATATTTAAAAACAATAATGTAATTAAAGTCATACTTCAAATATGACATGATCGGTTTGTCATTGTAATTAGCATTTAGAAATGAACCTTCATTAGAGAAATGAAGTAATTGCTGATTACTGAATTTTATAATATTTGTTTACACAGTGGATTATGTTAAACAACACGTAAACAAATATTGTTTTTGCAACTTCACTCATGATGTAATTGTGTTTGAAGAACTTCATGTAATTAAAATTAACATACATTCATTGGCTGCTTGTATTTTTTTTACTTTTTCGCTGGCGATACAATCTCATTCTTTGAACAGCTGTAATATCTGTCTTGCATAAAAAATATTTTCTATTTTAATAACTTCAAACATTTATAGAAATAACGAATAATATAGAAACAATTTCTAATCAGTAAACTTTAGTACACGGCACAAATCTTTAATTTGTTTAATTATTTTCAAGGAACAGGGTAAAATATTTTTCTGAGTCAGGCATTTTTCATTAAATGAAGATTCATACTACAATGTAACTTTAAAATGTTTATTTATCTTTGCCGATTTCCTTGTTGATATCGGTACGCATACAACGTTGATGCCGGTACGCATACAACGACAGATCTTTATTCACATACACGACGACTAATCACAATCGTCCCGTATTGAAATGATTTCACCGAGAGCGAATGACGTACAGTTCGGGCGTAACGCAATTTCCGTTGCATTTATACGAATTTAAACTTTCAAACTAGCTGTAAGTGGAATTCTGTCTTAAGGCAATTAAGGCAAATTGCTGGAACTTAAGGCTTATTGCCTTAATTAATTTGCCTTAAGGCTTATTGCCTTAAGGCAAATTGCTGGAACTTTCCGTACCAAATTTTTTTTTTAAAAAAATGATTAACATTTTTGAAAAAAAAATTACTTCGAAAAAATAAGATTTTTGAGAAACTATAAATTGGACCAAAAATTACTTTTTTTTGAAAAAAAAAAAAATTAAAAAAAAATTTTTTTTTAATTCTTTTTTTTGAAAAATTTTTTTTTTTTATTTTGACATATTTTGGAAGATATAAACTTTTTTTCAAAGCAATCGTACTGCTTTAACTGCATAAAGACGAAATATCGAAGCGCGTAAGCGCCACGTCGCCGACTAACGCGTAAACATTGGTACGGAACCCATAGGACTGTAAACCAAATTCATACTTATTGTTAAAATCTCTATAAAATATCTGATAATTTGATATGCATGAGTCTAATGATCATTTTTGACCGCCAAATGGGATTTTTTTTTACTTTTTTTATTAAATCTCCGAAACCGCTAGACCTGCCTTTATGAAAATTTGATCAGTTCTTCATCTTGTCAATATAAGTAAAATGTTTTTTGAATTATTAAAATCGGACGCTCCGTTCTCTTAAAACCTGAGTTACCGTTTTCGGCACTTTTTGCCCCGTATCTTCGGAACGGCTAGACCTCCCTGCGCCAAAAACTAATCAGCACGTCTCCTTATCAATACGAATCAAATGTTTTTTAAATTATTCAAATCGGTTGATCCGTGTTCCCGAAATCGTCGACGAAAATTTGTATCCGCACATACATACACACACGTACATACATACATACATACATACATACATAAATACATACTTACATACATACATACATACATACACACACACATACACATACACACACACACACACACACACACATGCATCCATTTTTTCTAAGGTATGCCAAAATGTTCAGAAACCTTTGAAACGTAAAGATATATAAAAATTTTCATTTTCGATTTTTTTGCGATTACTATAACTTGCCCTACGGGAAGTTAATTATTAACACAAAATAGATTTTTTTTTGTTAATAACTAGGCCAGAATACTTCTTTGAAGATATTTTTATTTTTTTAATCTTATGTTAAACTTATCTTAATTTTTTTAATTTTTCAGCGTGTCGAATGCATATACAGCATCAGTTATAAAATTTCATGACATTAGTTCTGAAATAGAATATAAAAAAATACTTAATAATTATTATAGTTCTTTTGATAACTTATGGAGTGAAAATTCAAAATTTGCATTTTGGAGAAAGATTCCTTTTCTAAAACGTGCCCAAGAAGCAAATAATCTGGAATATGAAATATTAAATTTAGCGAAAACAAGAGAAGAAGCTATCGATCACTTATTGTTGCATAAGGATAAAGATCCATATAGGTAATAAAGAAACTATCAGTGTTATTACTAATGTCAATCAACATAACATTAAAATTGAATTGTTTTTAGTTGTTTGTATTTAGATGCCTCTTGCACAGGTGATCAGATTAGAAAACATTACAAACGTTTAGCTATGTTTGTTCATCCGGACAAAAATGATATGCCTCAAGCAGAAGAAGCTTTTAAAGTCTTACAAAGAGCATTCGACGCTATTGGAGAACCTGTAAGATCTTATAAAGAATTTGTAATAGTCTTATGAGATGAAAAATGAGTCAGTATTATTTTTAAATTAGGAACAACGATCTAAATATGACATTGAAGTGGCTAGGCAACAGGATGCACAAACAGCTTTAAATCAATTCAGTGTGTTGTTAACAGAATTACAAGAAAAAATAGTTCGAGCATCAAATACTATTAGGTAACAGATTAAATAATTTATAAAAATATACTATTAGTAATTTGTAAATTGTTTCAATATTTAGGTGTACAAATTGCAATGGACGTCATCTGAGAGTACCTGTTAAAAGGCCGGCTTATGCTGCTAGAGAATGTGCGCAGTGCAAAATCAAACACTCAGCTAAAGAGGTATAACTTCATAAAAATAAAGAATATACAGTAATATCCTGCTTAATACTGCAATTAATACTGAGTCTCAAATTTTTTGCGTTTTATCAAGAAGCCATCTATTATAGTTTGCTTTTCTTCTCTGCTCTATTATTGTTGTGGATGAATAGATGAAGCATCTATAACACCTTATCTTGTATTTAAATTCCTCTCAAAACTTGATCATTTTTATCAATCATTTTACTTTCAGTTATAGTGGGAAAAAGACTTATTAACTTCCTGTAGGGCAAGTTATAGTAATCGCAAAAAAATCGAAAATGAAAATTTTTATATATCTTTACGTTTCAGAGGTTTCTGAATATTTTGGCATACCTTAGAAAAAATGGATGTATGTGTGTGTGTGTATGTGTGTGTGCGTGTGCGTGTGCGTGTATGTATGTGTGTGCGGATACAAATTTTCGTCGACGATTTCGGGAACACGGATCAACCGATTTGAATAATTCAAAAAACATTCGATTCGTATTGATAAGGAGACGTGCTGATTACTTTTTGGCGAAGACAGGTCTAGCCGTTCCGAAGATACGGGGCAAAAAGTACCGAAAACGGTAACTCAGTTTTTAAGAGAACGGAGCGTCAGATTTGAATAATTCAAAAAATATTTTACTTGTATTGACAAGATGAAGAGTTGGTCAAATTTTCATGAAGGCAGGTCTAGCGGTTTCGGAGATCTAATGAAAAAAGTAAAAAAAAATGCCATTCGGCGGTTAAAAATGATCATTAGACATATGCACATCAAATTATCAGATATTTTATAGAGATTTTAACAATAAGTATAATTTTCTTTTACATTTCTATGGGTTCCGTACCAATGTTTATCCGTTAGACGACGACGCGGCGCTCACGCGCTGTTACATTTCGTCTCTATGCAGTTCAAGCAGTACGATTGCTTTGAAAAAAAGTTCAGAATTTCCAAAATATGTCAAAATGAAGAAAACATTTTTCTTTTCAAAAAAATTGTTTGTTTTCAAAAAAAAATTTTCTTTCAAAAAAAAGTAATTTTTTGTCAAATTTCTAGTTTCTCAAAAATCTAATCTTTTCGAAGTAAATTTTTTTCAAAAATGTTAATCGTTTTTAAAAAAATAATAATTTTTGGTACGGGAAGTTCCAGCAATTTGTCTTAAGGCACGATGCCCTAATTGCCTTAAGACAGAATTCCACTTACAGCTAGTTTACTAACACCATTGAAAGTTCTATTTGCTTCTCTTCGAAATCACTATCAATGCAGTGGTACCTCGACGTACGAATTTAATTCGTTACGTATCCTCGCTTGTATCTCAAAGCAATTTTTTCTATATAAATACATTGAAATTTCGATTTATTCTATTACTATTCATTTGTTTCAGCACTGTGCTATTTTGGTTTATTTATATTTTCAAAGCTTAAATATTCAAAAATATGTGTTCGAGAAATTTTTAACTTTCCGTAGGATAAGTTATAGTCATTGCAAAAAAAATCGAAAATGAAAATTTTTATATATCTTTACGTTTCAAAGGCTTCTGAATATTTTGGCATACCTTAGAAAAAATGGATGTATGCGTGTGTGTGTGTGCGGATACAAATTTTCGTCGACGATTTTGGGAACACCGATCAACCGATTTGAATAATTCAGAAAACATTCGATTCGTATTGATAAGGAGACGTGCTGATTTTTGGCGAAGGCAGGTCTAGCCGTTCCGAAGATACGGGGCAAAAAGTGTCAAAAACGGTAACTCAGTTTTTAAGAGAACGGAGCGTCCGATTTTAATAATTCAAAAAACATTTTACTTCTATTGACAAGATGAAGAACTAATTAAATTTTTGAGAAGGAAGGTCGAGCGGTTATGGGCTCAATAAAAAATAGGTTAAAAAAATGTCATTTGGCGGTCAAAAATGTTCATTGGACATATGTTCATCAAATTCACAGATATTTTATAGGGATTTAAATATAAAAAATAATTAAATAAATGTGTACACAGTTTGTGTAAATTTCTCTGGGTTCCGTACCAAGATTTTTAATTACGGTACGGGAAGTTTCAGCAATTTGCCTTAATGCACGATGCCATGCACTCCACTAGTTTTTTTTTGGATTACCAGAAGGATTGCAATCGTGGACAAGATCACATGCCAATTTTTTAAGATACCCCACTACAGCAACTGCTAATTTTTAAAATTATTTTTAAATTTATCTTTCATTTTACTTTTTTCTGTACTTTTGTAACGTTGAGAAATAAATTATGAAAAATAATAGTAATAAAATTGATTACCTTTTTTACATAGATTTAAAAATGACATAGAATTCATGCCTCTACACTAGAATACCCCCTTAAGCGAGATATAACTGTACCTAAACGTACTTATTCTTATTCATTCATTCTCAGGGTGATATTTGGGCAGAGACAAGAATGATGGGTTTGCGATGGGTGTATCTAGCTTGCATGGAAGGCAGTATATATGATATATCTGAATGGGCAGCTTGTCAAAAAACTGCTCTAGCGCATCTTACGGCAAACTCTCATAATGTTCAGTATCGGATAGTTCTCGGTGACAAGCCAGCCAAGTCCAGAACCACACCTGCCAGGTATGTATTTTTAAATCTTTATTTATAAAACATTAAAATTTCTTATGTTTGTGTATAAATTTTTCAGCAATAGTACTAATTTTCAAGAATTTATCCACAATTTATGCACAAACTCAATGAACCAACAAGCAGGCCAGGAATCTGGAAGCAGTTGGCGTCGTAGATCTCCCAAGCAAAATTGAGACGAATATTTATAAATATCTTTATAAAACTTCACGAGCTTATATGTTTTTATCTATGTTAAAGTTTATATGTTGACTGTAAAATAGGTGTATTTTCAACAACTGTAATTGTCCAATTAATAGTTTATTTTTTGTATAATTAGTAAAATTATGATAACTCTCATATTGTGAAAATATGAATATTTTTATTTGATAATGGTATTCTATATTTGTACTACGATTTTGAAGATTGTAATGACAGTTTATATTGTTTGTATGCAAAGAATTTTATTATTTAATATTTTATTGACCACATTTAATTTGGATCTGAATATAAAAAATGAATATATTATACATTCAAAATTTATTTAAATTGTTCATTTATTATTTTACTTTTGAAATTAATGACATTTAGTGTAATGAAATTGGTCTGTGATTTTAATTTATATTTCTCAAAAAAAAATGTGAAGATTGAGTCTATTAAGATAGTTTTGCCAGACAATCGATTTTATATTTTCTCTACATTTCAAGTCATTATGAAGACGCCAAAATTGTAAAAAGTATGTAAATCGGAGCGAACATTTGATCTTTAATTGATGTTTTCTCAAAAATTGCTGCACCGATTTAATATATTTGAAAGTCATTTAATCAAACTCGGTAAGGACTTGTGTTAAATAGCATTGCGCAACTATAGGCTGAGCCGTTTTTTTTTTATTGGTAGAAAAGTGTAAAATTTTTACTCCACGTTCTCGCCAAAAATGCTGCACCTATTTTATAGCTAATTTTATGTTTTCTCGACGTTTCAAGCCATTCTGAAACGAATGAGACCAAATTTGGATAAAGTATTTGTGTGCGTGTCTGTGAACAGATTTTTTGCCGTAAATCGACGTTTTCTCAAAAACGACTGGACCGATTTCAACAATTTAAAAGCCTAACGTTTATCAATTTTGCGCGACGATCGGCCAAGCCGTTTCTTTGTAAATAGCAGAAAAATGAAAAAAGTATCGTCCACGTTTTAGCCCGCAATTCTGAATAGATTTTGAAAATTCAAAAACCGTTCGAAAGATATTGGTTGGAAATCGACCTGATTAGTTTTTGGTAAAGATGGGCCGGGCCGTTTTCTTGTAATAAAGTGTAAAAAAATTTTTTCGATGACTTTTATGATTATTTTTTTTTGACGGTAGATACCATAGTCTTATAGATCATATTAAAATATTACAGTTCTACGACAAGTCGTTTAATTTTGAAAATTTGTCAAAGTTTGCAAAAATTAGTATCGTTTTTTTTGGCGTTTGTCAAAATTAGAACTTTCTTCATAGACGTTTGCTCGAAAACGCCTAAACCGATTTCAAAAATTTAAAGCTATTTAATGTATCACAATGGGGAGTATTGTTTGTCAGTATTGTGCGACGATCTGCCAAGCCGTTTCTTTGTAATTTGGAAAAAAGTGTTAAACTTTCCGTCCACATTTA